GTCAAGTGGCTCACACCTGTAATCCTAGCACTTTGGGCGGGCAAGTTGGGCAGATCACTTGAGGTCAGGGGTTCGAGACCAGCCTGGCCAACATGGTGAAACCCCGTCTCTACTAAAAATACAAAAATTAGCCAGGCATAGTGGTACACACCTGTAGTCCTAACTACTCAGGAGGCTGAGGCAAGAGGATTGCTTGAACCCGGGAGATGGAGGTTGCAGTGAGCCAAGACTGCACCACTGCACTCCAGCCTGGGTGACAGAGCTAGATTCCACCTCAAAAAACAAAACAAAACAAAACAAAACCTCTCTCAGGGTCTCTCCAAGATTCCTGGGTCTCTGACATAGCCTGTCCTCACGATACCTGGCCTGCTTCCAGATGGAATTCCTCATTGTTATTGTGGAAAGACAGGCAGTCCTCCAGGGTTGGGGGTGAAAGGGGAAATGAGGGACTAGTCCCCAGTGAGCCACTCCTCCCTCCCCAGGCTGCCAGGCTAATTGGAAAGAGCCTTGCCCTGAGCAACCTGACCTCCTTTTTTTTTTTTTTTTTTTTTGAGACGTAGTCTCGCACTGTTGCCCAGGCTGGAATGCAATGGTGCGATCTCGGCTCACTGCAACCTCCGCCTCCCAGGTTTAAACAATTCTCTAGCCTCATCCTCCCGAGTAGCTGGGATTACAGGTGCCCGCCACCACACCTGGCTAGTTTTTTTGTATTTTTAGTAGAGATGGGGTTTCACCATATTGGCCAGGCTGGTCTCGAACTCCTGAAGTGAACATCCACTCACCTCGGCCTCCCAAAGTGCTGGGATTATAGGCATGAGCCACCAGGCCCCGCTGCAACCTGACCTCTGTTACCATCCTCCAAGCCTTCTACTCTGGTGCAACAGACCATCCACTGGCTCATTGTGGGTTATACCATGACTGCCTTCTGCCTCTTCATGTAGGGCAAATGGCTTAAGGTAACGGAAGTCCTGCATGTGAAGCTCAGAGGAACCCACTGCAACCTCCGGCAGTGAGGGATGCTCCAGGCCATGTCTACGTCAGCCGCCTCTCTCCTCTCTACAAATTCATCTATTTTCTTAGCCACGTCTTCTTTTCGGCCTACTATATTCAGAAAGCAACGGTACCAAAGAAAGAGGAGTTAAAGGTGATGCAATCATCTATTTCCCGGGTCAGTAAATGTCCTACAGTTAAGCTCAAACTACCAGGTTATACAAAAGAGCAACAGACTTGGAAGAAAAGATGGTATTAGAAATTTGGGGAGAACTCCAAGTATGAGCCTGGCTACTACATACATAGTATGGGCACTGATGACTCTGACTTACTGAGGCACGCTGGGAAGAAGCTGGAAGGACTACAGACTAGGAACGAGGAGTGACTCTGACCAGCCTTCCAATCAAATGTCTTGTCTTGTAGGTAGCCTTCAGCAGGGCTGGTGCAGAAATTACTTATCACAGCCGGGTGCAGTGGCTTATACTTGCTTGTTTTTCTGGTCGGAGTTTCACTCCTGTTGCCCAGGCTGGAGTGCAATGATGCGATCTCAGCTCACTGCAACATCCACCTCCCAGGTTCAAGCAATTCTCCTGCCTCAGCCTCCAGAGTAGCTGAGATTACAGGCATGCACCACCACGCCCAGCTAATTTTTTGTATTTAGTAGAGACATGGTTTCACCATGTTGGTCAGACCAGTCTGAAACTGCTGACCTCAGGTATTCCACCCACCTTGGCCTCCCAAGGTGCGGGGATTACTGGCATCCATCAGCGCACCTGTCCAGCTCACACTTGTAATTCCAGCACTTCGGGAGCTCGAGGCAGGCGGATCTCCTGAGGTCAGGAGTTCAAGATCAGCCTGGCCAACAAGGCGAAACCCCGTCTCTACTAAAAATACAAAAATTAACTAGGCGTGGTGGTGGGTGCCTGTAATCCCAGCTACTCGAGAGGCTGAGACACGAGAGTCACTTGAACCCAGGAGGCAGAGGTTGCAGTGAGCTGAGATCGAGCCACTATACTCCAGCCTGAGGGACAAAGTGAGACTCTGTCTCAAAAAAAAAAGAAAAAGAAAGAAAGAAAGAAAGAAAGAAGGAAGGAAGGAAGGAAGGAAGGAAGGAAGGAGAAAAAGAAAGAAAGAAAGAAAGAAAGAAAAAAAGAAAGAAAGAAAGAAAGAAAGAAAGAAAGAAAGAAAGAAAGAAAGAAATTACTTATCCCCCTATTCACAGCCTCACAGCTAAGACATGGCATTCCCAGCTGTGCCTCTGCTGCTGGCCAAGTCTCACTGGAGCCAAAGGGGAAACTCCGAAGGAGCAGAGGGCCACATCTCGCCTCTCGGCTCCCCCATGCACACTGCCTTATCTCTCGCCCTCTGGCCAGGAATCAGTTGTGTTTTTCCTCTGCCAATTTACTATGACTATGTATGTGCTGCTACCACCGCCACCACCATGGTGGGCAGGGAGGGGTGCAAGGCCCTGCTCCTCCACTCTTTCTACCCTGGACTGCATCAGATACAATCATTTCTGTGTGTTCGGTTTTTCACCACGAGCATTCCCGACTGCTTTCTTTCACAGTCCTTCTCCAGACTAGCTATGGCTGAAATAATCAGGTTTCTCTTTTACAGAGCGCAGGAAGCTGGAAATGTGAAGCTAAAGCCTGTCTTCCAAGCCTGGAACCAAACTGCTAACTCTGTAACCTCACATCTGTCCCCGAGGTCCAAGGGGAACAGTTTACACCATTAGATACCGCTAAGTTTAGGAACCCCCAAAACAACCAGATGCACAAGAAGAGTATTCATGGGATAAACAAAGAGCGTATGTGGAGCCCTGGCTTCCCAGACTCCGCAGTCTCAGGGCAGGAAGGTCATCTCAGGGCGGTAAGTTCTGCACAGGCGAAGGCAGCAGAAAGGGAATGCCAGCTGATGGCCACCATCTTCTCTGTATATTCTACACTGGCACTGTTGCGGGCAAATGCCCCTACCTCAAAAACAATAGTATCACTGCTGGGTACCAGCTCTCGAATATCGCTGGCCACTGGGATGGAAAAAAAAAGTGCCAATTTTCAGCCAGGCATGGTGGGTGGCTCATGCCTATAATCCCAGCACTTTGGGAGGCCAAGGCCGGTAGATCACTTGAGGTCCGGAGTTCAAGACCAGCGTGACCAACATGGTGAAACCCATCTCTACTAAAAATACAAAAATTAGCTGAGCATGGTGGTGAGCTCCTGTAATCCCAGCTAATCAGGAGGCAACTCCAGCCTGGGCCACAGAGCAAAACTCCGTCTCAAAAAAAAAAAAAAAGAAGTGCCAATCTTCATACATCCAAATGGATGTATGAAAGAGAAGGTAATTAAGAATCCAGGCCAGGCACAGTGGCTTATGCCTGTAATCCCAACAATTTGGGAGGCCAAGGCAGGCAGATCATCTGAGGTGAGGAGTCTGAAACCAGCCTGACCAACATCGTGAAACCCCATCTCTACTAAAAATACAAATTAAGGCCAGGCACAGTGGCTCATGTCCGTAATCCCAGAATTTGTAGAGGCCAAGGCGGGTGGATCAGCTGAGGTAAGAAGTTTGAGACCAGCCTGGTCAACATGGTGAAATCCTGTCTCTACCAAAAATAAAAAATTAGTCAGGCATGGTGGTGTGTGCCTGTAATCTCAGCTACTGGGGAGGCTGAGGCGGTGGAATGGCTTGAACCTGGGAGGGAGAGGCTGCAGTGAGCTGAGATCGTGCCACTGCACTCCGGCCTGGGTGACAGAAAGAGACTCCATCAAAAAATAAAACAACATAATATAAAATAAAAATAAAATAATATTTTATTTCCAACAATAATAATTCACTTTCCAACCAAAGTGATCTGACACTGATTCTTAATTACCTTCAAGAGCTTCTGGGAGCTGTCAGCTACTCCAACACTGAGCTAGTGTAAAAGCCGAACCACGAGGCCGCAAAAGTGGTCAAAGGGTCTGGGAATTCAGGTGTGGGGCTTCAATCAGAACTTTCTTCTGCGTGTGGATGTAAAGCTGCAGCACACCAGCTCGGTTCAGCAGACTATCCAGGGACTATCCATCGGCACCAGGGAACTCTGGTGGGCTGGTCTGAGCACACCTCCCCAGGGTCTCATCCATTCTTCAACAACGGAGACTTGTGCCTGTCACAGCTGAGCAGCTCTTATGCCTTCCCTACCTGGACAGCCTCCAGACTGGCCTCTTCCAGCACCAGAATGAGCCTAGGCCTTTAAACCTGTTTCCTGCCCTGGGTCAGGGCCTCTTGGGTGCCAGAGACTCCCAGTCCTGTTCCTGCTCCCCATCACTCTGGTCACAAGGTTGGATTCCAACACCAAGTGTGGCCATCTTGCAGCCCTACTTTTAAACTTTTATAAAATGTTTTTTTTTTTCTTTTCTTATACTGTGTAGCTGCATAGAAACATTGAGTTTTATAGTTGAAAGGACCCCCAAAATTCATTTAGTCCAAAGTTAAAAATAAAGAAATGGTAACCAAGAGAGAATATACTGCTTTGTTCAAGATCACGCAGCAATTTTTGGCAAAACTGCCCCAAATCCAGGGATCCAGTCTTTTTTTCAGTACAATATGCTGACTACCTGGAACTGGACAGTTACCTCCAACTGGACAAACACCAAGAACAATTCAATGAAACACATATAAGTTCTCTCAAATAGCTCATCTTCTGTCACCCATCAAAATGGAGAAAAGCAAAGTGATAAAAGCCATGTGAGTCCCAAAACACCTCACATAACAGACTCAACAGAAAGCACTTTTTTGGGGGGAAGAGGGGAGTCCTGCTCTCTCCCCCAGGCTGAAGTGCAGGGGTACAATCTTGGCTTACTGCAACCTCCACCTCCCAGGTTCAAGTGATTCTCCTGCCTTAGCCACCCGAGTAGCTGGGATTACAGACACCCGCCAACATACCCAGCTAATTTTTGTACTTTTAGTATAGATGGGGTTTCACCATATTAGCCAGGCTGGTCTCGAACTCCTGACCTCAAATGATCCGCCCACCTTGGCCTCCCAAAGTGCTGGGATTATAGGCATGAGCCACCGCGCCTGGCCATGACAATCATTTGTATATCATTAATAAGGAACCCAATGGGGAGAGAAAGAAGGACACAGAGACACATACACCCACCTTACTCACAAGGTTATAACCACCATACACAGAAGGTGGCCATGTGGAGGATGGACCCTGAGGGTGGTGAGGACAGAGTGATGACTTTTCAAGAGAAAATGAAGGGTCAGAAAATGAGCAGGAAAAGCTTTAGAAGGAACACTTGAGATGAGACTGGAAGGCTGAGGAAGCCAGTACTCTCTAGTTATTAAGTTGGTGCAAAAGTGATGGTGGTTTTTGCAATTACTTTCGATGTATACAACAACCTAACACAACAACAAAATTCTAACACAGAAGAAGATGCAAGCAAGTGGAACCTGCTGGGAGGGCACGAGTGTATCCACAATGAATGGATCCAATCAGTGAGGTTTCTGCCTTTCTTTCAAATCTGTGTAACCTGAAGGCATTTGCCCACATGACACACGGTGCGCTTCCCAACGAGCGGTTCAGCAGATGGCTGTCAAGGGAGGGTCACTAAGGCTAACCCAGTTTCACAGAATGACTAAGATTTTCCAGAGGGAAAATTCAAAATGGACAAGTGAAATGGGAAAATATTTTGGTTTCTGATTCCTCCAGGCTTCATGTATTCATGCAGTAGGTATTGATCCCAGAAGTTTCAAATGCCACCAACGCAAAAGGTAACTTAATTCGTTTTGATGTATTCCAGATGGGTTCTTCCTTTATTTCTGCTCATAGGCACCATGTGCTTTTGAGAGACCTCATTTCAAATCAGCTTCACAGCTCTACAGAGTGGTGAGAAGTATGACTATTATTTTGCCAATCATAACCTTAGCACAAGGCCTGAAGAAGAAGGTTCAGACGAAGGATTTAGTGGCTCCATTGCCAGAAGACACTGAGAATCATCAGAGAACAATTTTATTCTTTGCCTGAGGAAACTAAGTCCCTCAAATGTCTAGGTGACTTGCCAAATGGGTAAAAGGTGTCTTCCACACCAGAATCTAGAGCTATAAATATCCAATACAACAACCTTGCCACAACTCCACACATGGGGCAAAAATATGGATCAACTTTTATGTATTTTAACTTTTAGCACTTTAGTACTGATAAAGTCCATTTAGACAGTCAAATATTTGGCAAAGGTTCTCTCAATCTCATAATCATAATACTTTTAAAACAATTTCAGTAAACACTTCACACATTCTGTCAACCATCATTTAAGAGTATTCACAGGGCTGGGCACAGTGGCTCACGCCTGTAATCCCAGCACTTTGGGAGGCCAAGGTGGGCAGATCATGAGGTCAGCAGATCGACACCATCCTGGCTAAGACAGCGAAACCCCGTGTCTACTGAAAACACAAAAAAATTAGCCAGGCATGGTGAAACCCACCTGTAGTCCCAGCTACTCGGGACGCTGAGGCAGGTGAATTGCTTTAACCTGGGAGAGTCGTAGGTTACAGTGAGCTGTGATCACGCCACTGTACTCCAGCCTGGGCGACAGAGCGAGACCCCGTCTCAAAAGAAATAAAAAAGTGTTCACTAAAGCACCAGCCTGGATTTAAAAGCAGTACAAAAACAAAACAAGCATGGCCAGGTGCAGTGGCTGATGCCTATAATCCCAACGCTTTGGGAGGCCAAGGAGGACAGATCACCTGAGGTCAGGAGTTCGAGACCAGCCTGGCCAACAAAATAAACCCCCCCTCTATTAAAAAAAAATTACAAAAATTAGCTGGTTGTAGTGGCAGGTACCTGTAATCCCAGCTACCTAGGAGGCTGAGGCAGGAGAATCACTTGAACCCGGAGGTGGAGGTTGCAGTGAGCCATGATCACACCACTGTACTCCAGCCTGGGTGTCAGAACAAAACTTCATCAAATAAATAAATAAATAAATAAAGCGATCAAAGCACTCCCTGCATAATGGAGAAGTCACCAAAAATTAAATAGTATATGACGAATGTGAGGGCTGACATAGACCAGGCAAGTGCCTAAGGAGCAACTCAGAGGGACAGCTTCTCTGGGTCTCTGTAGATGCCTGGGGGTTAACCAGACAGGAAATAAAGCAAGGGAAAAAATGACAGAAAGAAACAGAAAACACTTAGTGAACTTTCTCATTGTATCAGGCCAGGTTCTAAGCACATTATGCTAATTTTATTTTATTTTGAGATGAGGTCTTGCTCTGTCACCCAGGCTGAAGTGCAGCTGCATGATATTGACTTACGACAGCCTTGACCTCCTGGGTTCAAACAATCCTCCCACCTCAGCCTCCTGAGGAGCTGGGACTACAGGCATGTATCACCATGCCCAGCTAATTTTTGTTTTTTTTTTTGTAGAGACAGGGTCTTACTGTGTTGCTCAGGCTGGTCTCAAACACCTGGCCTCAAGTATCATCCCGCCTCAGCTTACCAAAGTGCTGAGATTATGGACGTGAGCTACCACCCCCAGCTACGTTCTATTTATTAATTTCTCAATTCTCAAAAGAATATTCTAAGAAGGCACTGCTGTCATCCTCCTTTTAGAAATGAAAATCTTAAGGCACAGAATGCTCTTTACTAGACAACAACAATACAATTTTTCGAATTTTAAAATAACAAAAAATATTGCACTAAAATTCATCACTATATTTGAAAGGTAATGAGAATCCTTAACTTTCACCAGTATAAGAAAAGACTTGCAAGCTTATTCATTGTACCATTTCCCAAACTACTAACAAAAAGAGCTTCAAAATTCAAGTTTTACATACTGTTCCCTATGCAAAGAAATCACTTAGTAATGGGAACTCATGATGAACCACGTCCAAAAGGCGCATTCAGAAACCTAACCATGAATTTAAAAGAAAGCTTGTAATCCAACACCACGAAAACACAATGAATGCTGCAGTCCAGATTCGGTTACTCAATCTACAAACCTCATAAATGAAAACAAAGCAGACCAATTTCCAGCTAGATGGAATGCCTGGAGCGGAGTGGGCCAGAGCCCCGGCCATATAACATCCAAGAGAGGAAATACATTATACCTTTCTGGCAGGGACTCTTCTCAGGGCACCAGCCTATGTCTGCTGGCAGTAATCATCTGTGGGCCCTTTTTCTCCCATAATATTATGAAAAAAGATTTCATAAAAATAAAAGCTTTCAAATGCTAGATGATTCTTATTAAGATCCTTTATTTGTTTACAATTAAGGGCATGCTAACCGTTGGGTCGGGATACCGGGTGGAAGGCTTACGTGGGTCACTTGGATCCCATGTGACCCATGTGGACCAGCTTGGCCAACATGGTGAAATCAAATTGATCTCAGTGGGGTTTCACCATGTTCGTCAGGCTGGTCTCGAACTCCTGACTTCAGGTGATCGGGACTCAAATCTCAGCTGTGCAATTTCAAACGACTGAACTTGGGTAAGGGATCCTACAGGTCTCCAACGTTCTCCCTCTGGGTTGTCATATGGGTGAGCAGCCTGGGTGTCATCCTTTACTGGATGTGACTCTCCCTGCCCACCACTTTCTCAGTCACCAGGTCCGTCCCACTTCCTTTATATTTCTGGAATCTTCTTCCATGTCTGTCCCCACTGTTCTACTGCCACCTCCTTTAATGATCTACACTGTTACCGCTGACCTTCTTCCTGCCAGTCTTGCTCCCCTAAACCTACGCACAACAATCTAAAAAGAAACTGGTTTCTTTTTGTTTGAGAGGGAGTCTCGTTCTGTTGCCCAGGCTAGAGTGCAGTGGTGCGATCCTGATTCACCGCAGCCTCCACCTCTCAAGTTCAAACAATTCTCGTGCCCCAGTCTCCTGAGTAGCTGGGACTACAGACATGTACCGCCTGGCTAATTTTTGTATTTTTAGTAGAGATGGGGTTTCACCATTTTGGCAGGCTGATCTTGAACTCCTGACCTCAAGTGATCCACCAGCCTTGGCCTCCCAAAGTACTGGGATTACAGGCATAAGCCATGGTGCCTGAACAGAGCTTGTTTCAAATGCAAATCTACCTATCACTCCTTCACCTAAAACTTAAGGAATTTGCTTTTGTGTCACTTAACGTCACTTACAGTTCTCTACTTGAAGTTCTCTTACTATCATGTTCAGAGTGTTCAGAGTTTAACAGTTCTTTTTTATTTATTTTATTTTTTTTTTGAGACAGAGTTTCACTCTATTGCCCAGGCTGGAGTGCAGTGGCGCAATGACACAACCTTCGCCTCCCGGGTTCAAGTGATTCTCCTGCCTCAGCCTCTCGAGTAGCTGGAATTGCAGGCATGCCCCACCACACCTGGCTAATTGTTGTGTTTTTAGTAGAGATGGGGGTTTCTCCATGTTGGTCAGGCTGGTCTTGAACTCCCAACCTCAGATAATCCACTCGCCTCAGCCTCTCAAAGTGCTGGGATTGCAGGCGTGAGTCACCGCGTGCAGACCAGCTTACCAGTTCTTAACACATTGTAGGGAGTTCACTCAATACATGTTTAACGTTGAGGGAGTTAAGCATAAATTTCTTCCTTATTCCACAAAAGTCTTGCTTTTTTTTAAATTCAGAGGAATAAATGAGACGATGTATACAGATGGCCTAGCACAGGCCAAGTAGTTACTGCCATAGCTTCTGACTCCTCTTACTGCTCATTGTTCCAAAGTTTGCAAAGTGCTTTCATGCACTTGAGCTCATCTGATCCTTGTAACAACTCTGAGATTTAAGAAGTTACAAGAGGCCAGGCGAAGTGGCTCACACCTATAATCCCAGCACTTTAGGAGGCCGAGGCGGGTAGATCACGAGGTCAGGAGTTCAAGATCAGCCTGGCAAACATGATGAAACTCACCTTTACTAAAAATACAAAAATTAGCTGGGCATGGTGGAGCATGCTTGTAATCCCAGCTACTTGGCAGGCTGAATCAGGAGAATTGCTTGAACCGGGACCGGGACCCAGGAGGTGGAGGTGCAGTGAGCCAAGATCATGCCCAGCCTGGGCTACAGAGCAAGACTCTGTCTCAAAAAAAAGAAGTTACAAGAAACTGAGGCTGGTGACGTTTACAGTCTGTAGAAACAAAGCTAATTTTCAGATAAATCTACTGATTCCAAATCCTGAGTTTTTCCTTTATGCCTTTCTGTCAGGAGTTCTAGCTTCTACTATAGAAAATAATAAAGAAATAAAAATTATTTTTCCTGGTGGGGCGTGGTGGCTCATGCCTGTAATCCTAGCACTTTGGGAGGCCAAGGCGGGTGGATCACCTGAGGTCAGGAGTGCAAGACCAGCCTGGCCAACATGGCAAAACCCCATCTCTATTAAAAATACAAAGATTAGCAGGGCGTGGTGGCGGGCACCTGTAACCCCATCTATTTGGGAATCTGAGACAAGAGAATCACTTGAACCCAGGCGACAAGGTTGCAGTGAGCTGAGATTGCCACGGCACTGTAGCCTGGGTGACAGAGCGAGACGGTCTCAAAAAAAAAATTATTTTTACTATAGCATATCAAATGTCTTTGAACATATAATATGGATGCCCATCTTTTCCATAAAGTTTAACCAATACTTTTTATAGCATTTAAGAAATACAAACACAAGGGCCAAACTCCACTCCAAATGGACTTTGGGTCATTTCTTATCAATTACTTTAAATAAGAAAGCTCTCACCTGGTTTGTTCATTCATTCCTCCATTCAGCAAATGTTTATCACATGCCTAGTTTATCCAGGGCATTGTGTTTGGCACTGAAAATCTTTTCTTTCCCTGAGATCTAAAAATTTAGCCTATAACTTCAAGATTTTCCAAGTGAAGCCAGTGATGGAACACATAAACGGCTGTTCTTACAGGTACTTGACTAAACAGCAATGAAGCAGAAGCCAGGAACTCTGAAAGTTCATTCTGGCTATGCCTCTAGACAAGTTCAGTGACCCTGGACAAGTTCCTGGGACTCAGTTTCCTTACCCATAAAACGGGAGAATTGGTCCATATTATCCTTAAAGTTATGCCAGTGCTTTGAATTCTAGAGATGCCAATATTCCATATAACTAGCAAACACTTTTGACACTACCAGTGTATAATTTTATATCACAATCTTATAAATGTTTGTGTGATAATTCACATACTTACTGTAGCTTGAAAAATACCACCAGATTGCCCCACAAATTGTTAATTTTTAACTACAAACCAAATTTGGAGCATTTTTACAACTCTTGCAGCCAATTCAGCTTGCAAATTGCCCCCCTTAATGAAAACTGCATTTTTCATGCATAAACTGCGATATTAAATACTGATCTCATTGGAAATCCTAAATAAATCAGACTCAAGCCCTTCTTACTTTCTTAATCTGTGACATCTCACTTTAGGATGATTTAAATTCTCATATACAAAATGGCACTGTAATGCAATTCATTAGCACATGTTTATGTGAGCAAACCTCTTTAGGGCCTTACTTTCAAGTTTCTTGCACCCTTACTTCTCACAGCAAATCACGATTAGACATGTAAACCTTAATGCCCTGAAAAGTCATCAGCTGAGGAGGTCCACCGCTTGTTGACACAAATCCCTGATGCCCACCCATGAATTCACACTCACAGATTCTTCCCTGTAATCAAGAAGACATCTGCCTAAGCATCACCGAAACAGCCCAGACAAAGAGAGAAACTGAAGCATATTTCTGTATACTGACTTACACAAAAACATCTGCCCCCAAACTCTTACTTCTTTCTAGACTTCATTTGAAGTAATCCTTTCTAGCTGGTTGTGGTGGCTCATACCTACAATATCAGCCTTTTGGAGGCCAAGGAGGGTGGATCACTTGAGCTCAGGTGTTTGAGACCAGCCTGAGCAACATGGCAAAACCCCATCTCTACAAAAAAAATTTTTTTTAATTAGCCAGATGTGGTAGCAGGCTTCTGTAGTCCCAGCTACTTGGGAGGCTGAGAAGAGAAGATCATTTGAGCTGGGGAGGCTGAGGCTGCTGTGAGCCTCACTCTAGCCTGGGTGACAAAGGGAGACCCTGTCTCAAAAAAAAAAAAAAAAAAAAAAAGGGAAAGAATCCTTTCTTTCTTCACTCATTCACGGAACCTTAACTGAGCTCCTATTACATCAGTTGAAGTGATGGATGCTAAGTATACTAGTGGGGACGGGCTTAGTCAGGGTCACTACTAACCCACACTGTACTTTTGCTTAAATTACCAAATACATCCTCCTCCAGTGGAGAGGAGTGCACCAGAGGCTTGGGAAGTGGAACGTGAATTGCATTTCAGCCTCCACTTGCCTGTTGGACGAGATGACCTTATGCAGTGAACAGCCTTAACAACTGTGCAAGGTAGCACTGCCAGATGTATATACAAAAATGAGTTCTAGTGGAAGCACTGACTACTGGAGGAGCTTAACTTTGCCTAGGGATAAGGGGGAAGAAAGGCTTCCCAGAGAAGGTATTTGACTGACACATTAAGAATGTGTGGGTAATTGACAGATGGACAAGAGGCCTAAGAACAGTGTGAGCAGAATCTCATTCATTCCAAACAGTGGTCTGGAAATGACAACTTGTGAGTAGTTTGATGTGTCTAGAGCAGGCAGTGTGAAAGTGGGGGAGAGTCGGGAGGCCTGGGGAAAGTCAGTAGATGGAACTGGAAAGGCAGGCAAGGTGCCACATTGCGAAGCATCTTAGCATGGTATGTCAAGGTGTTGAAAGCTGATTCTGAGACCATTAGGGGCGTGTTTTGCCACTGTAAATAACAAACTCTTCTTCAGTTATACCTTGCCATGTTCTTTTACATTTACCAAAAATCTCTGACACCCTGAAGCAACAAGTTTTATTTTCCTATAAAGTGAGTGGGTAGAATCCAGTGGAACAAAAGTTTGCTTGCAGAAGTGCACCAATCATGATCCTACATTTTAAAAACATAATCTTAAAGAACATCAGGAAATACTCCTAAGAGTATATACACATCAGTTCTACCAGTTATGCCCAAATTGTAAAACCAGCCATGGACACTGTTTTATCCAGAGCCCAGAACTGAAACACTTACAGCATATGATCTGCACCTGTACAAAAGTTGGCAGGATTTTAGAGACACTCTGGCTTAAATCGATTGGGAAGAGAACTAGAGTAGTCAGTGTTGTCTGTTAAGGTTGTCAGCATCATTTGGGGAGCAAGAGGTAGAATGCGTGAATTACCACGAGAAGAGAATGCCAGGCCCTTGGCTGCTTTGTAAATAAAGGTCTTACCACCACCCAAGGAAGCTGAGGGTCACCAAGTGGCCTCTTGCCTGAATCCTGCAGAGAAAAGCAGGAAAACCACCCCTTGAATGAAATTATCTTAGGGATCAAGCAGCCTTCCCTCCTTTAAATAAAGTTAACCTATTTTTCTATTTAAAAAAAAAAAAGAGGCACGGGAGCTCATCAATACTAAGTTTCACCGCTCCTTAAAGATAAAAACACCTCGTGCAATCTTACTCCCAGACCTTTCCAGCGGCTGTCGGCAACCAATGGTTGAAAGAATGGACTCTTCTTTCTCGACTGTTTTTGGTAGATAGGATACATTAGGGGTACAACGTGTCGGCTTTCACAGAAACCTGGCACCTCAGCCCCCCTAGGAGCGGCGCCTGTCCGGGATGGCTCCCGTGCTCGGAAAAGCAGGAGGGGCTGAGCAGGGACCGCACGGTCTACACTCGCAGAGCCGACCGCCTGGGATCCTGCTCCGCCGCAGCGCCTTCCTGAGTCTCCGAGGTCGCCAGGCGGGCGTGGGCGCAGCGGGCGCTCCACTCCGGGCATCCACGGCACCGCTTTGGGCAAGGACCTCGGTATCTGGAGGCAGGGACGCCGCCTCCTCCCATCCGGGATGGGACCGGGGCTGAAAGTGGGCCCCGCGTGTCACGCAGCGCGAGGGGACCAAGGACCTCGTTTCTGAGCTTCTGGAAAGTGCTTCGTCCCCCGTGCCAGGCTGCACCCGGACGCTGCCGCCCTCCGGGGAGAAGGTGCCAGGCCGCGCTCCACAGCTGCGACCTTCTGCGGGACTCTAAGGAAAGCGGGGGCAGAGAGGGGCGGCCAACAAAGGGGAAGGGAGGGGACCGCCGGCCGCGCGCCACCCCGCCCACAGGGCACCCGGAGCCGCTGCCGCCCCGCGCCGCCCTCGCCCTCCTGCGCCCTCGCCCGGGCGCCCCTTACCTCGGGTCGCGCGCCTGGCTCCGTGGAGCCGGTCGCACGCCGCACTCCGCGCCCCTCGGCGCGTGGCCCTCGCGGGGACGCCGGGCGGAGCTGGAGAAGTTTTGGGGGTCACTTTGTTCTCCACTCCGGCGCGCGCTGTGCGCCTGCGGCGACCGCGGCCACTGTTACGGCTGCCCCAGTCCCGAGCGCAGCGCCGGCGAGGCCCGAGCCGCGACCGCACCTCCCGTCCCGCCCCGGACACGCCCCGGACACGCCCCAGCCCCGCCCCGCGCCAGGCCTGGAACCCCCCCACTCCAGCTCCCGGCTGATGCCGGACCGTGTCCCTCGGTGCCTGCTTTTGGAACAACACAAATAATGAAAACAAAAACTCCAGAGACACCCAGCACGCGCTCACTGTGAGCCCGAGGCTCTACCTGCGACCGCGGACGCGATGCGCCCATGCGACCCAGTCCTTTCCCCAAAGAGTTTAAAGACAGCGCTCCTTGGGTTCCACCAAGGAAAGGCGGGCAGAGGTCAGCGGCCACAGACTTCCCATCTCCTTCCCCTTCGGAGAGGAGACGGCTTCACAGCGGAGGTGGCAATAGAGTTGGGACTCGAGGGCCCAGTCGAATTGGGACCTTCCAGATGGGGAAGCTGCGATCTTGCGCGCGCGCGCGTGTGTATGTGTGTGTGTGTGTGTGTGTGTGTGCGCGCGCGGGCGCGCGCGCGATTTGGCTCGATCTTGGCTCACAGCGACCTCCTTCTCCCGGGTTCAAGCGATTCTCCCGTCTCAGCCTCCTGAGGAGCTGGGATTACAAGCATGCGCCCCCAAGCCCGGCTAATTTTGTTAGTAGGGAAAGCGTTTCATCATGTTGGTCAGGCTGGTCTCGAAATCCGGACCTCAGGTGATCCGCCCGCCTCGGCCTCCCAAAGTGCTGGGATTACAGGCGTGAGCCACGGCGCCCGGCGGAAGCTGCAATTTTTATGAGAGAAGGCTGAGTGGCCCAGTGGGCCCGGACGCTGGGAAGGGCGAGGGAGCTCCGGAAACGCAGGAATGAAAGCTGCCTGGAACGCCAAGTTCCAGGAATTACTCTCCCTGCTTTGGGGGAAGGGAAAGTAGATGCAGACCGTACGTTAGGGTGGATCCTCCAAGAAGCAGCACCCAGTCAGGACAAATGCGGAGGGTTTTCTTGGGGGAAATGGCTGTGTAACCAAATGAGGAGGAGCTGTGAGAGCGGGAGCTGTGAGAGCTGGAGAGGGCCGCGCATTCTGCAAATCCGAGCCCAGGTGAAGGAGGCAGGGAAGCACCCATCCTGGCCTCTCTGCAGTCTAAGAAAAGTTCAGCAAGATCATCCATGAGGCCTTCAGCCAAAATTGCCCATCATGGGGATCCCGATTCTCCCTGGAACCTGCCTACCTTCGCGTCCACGCCGCCACCAGTCCTTGGCTGGGAGCAGCCAGATGGGAAGGATGGCCTTGGGCACAGTCCCAGGGCTGAAGTTCAGAGCACAGCAGCCTGGTCAGTTAGGTGCATGCAGTGCGTGAATACGACCCAGTCTCCGTAACTGGAGATGAGTCGAGAACTGTGAGTCAGAAAGACAGATGGAATTAGCTTTCCCACAACAAACCCGCAGTTTCAAAATGAAGCCTCCAGGCTTTGCGGGGATCGGTCAGACCTGCTCTCCACCCTCAACCACCACGGGCTCTATACACACTGGCCGGTAGCGACTGGCCCCTCCCACCACGTAGCCCTCCCCTGGTCGTGTCTGCATCTTTGCGCACTTGGCTCTGCCTGGGAAAATATCCTCCCACACCACCCACCCTTTCGTGCTCAAGTCAAGCGTCACCTCTAAGGAGCTTTTCTTCCTTGACACTTATTTACTGGGTTTTTTTTGTGGGGGGGGGAGGGGGTGTTGTTTTGCTTTGTTTTTTGAGATGGAGTCTGGCTCTGTCGCCTAGGCTAGAGTGCAGTGGCACGATCTCAGCTCACTCAACCTCCACCTCCCGGGTTCAAGTGATTCTCCTGCTTCAGCCTTCCCAGTAGCTGGGACCACAGGCATGAGCCACCACGCCCAGATAATATTTGTATTATTAGCAGAGATGGGGTTTCACCATGTTGGCCAGGCTGGCCTCGAGCCCCTCAAGTGATCCTCCCACCTCAGCCTCCCAAAGTGTTGGGATTATGGGCATGAGCCACGGTGCCTGGCCAACACCTTGTAAGTACTTCTTACTTCTGACCTTCATTTACCACACTGAGACAAGGGATGGGAGGTGCTGATGTGCGTTTATTTATTTTTCTTGCTTCTTTTATTGCATTTTTCACACTTTTAAAATATTTTTCTGATTATAAAAGTAACATGTTTGTTGCACAAACTTGAAAAATACATAGAACCCAGATGGCTCCAACTCTCCTGGTTCTTGTAGACAGACAACATCCTTTGACAGCCAAGTAACCAGAGTCTGAGCTCCCATCCCACGTGTATCCATCTGGGTCCCACCAAGAGAGAGACCACACAATGATTTCAACTGTGAAAGTTTAATACAAACAATTATTAACTACAACGGGATTAGAAGTAACGGGGAATTGACTAGGCTAGTAAGAAAGACAAAAGACAAAAGAAAATAGGAAGAGCAGATG